AAGCTCTGAAATAAAATCCTAGAAAGGATTCTTCTAAATTTTAATAGACTGTCTATTGGTACTCGTTTGTACGAGTGGATCTTCAAATGCACCAAATTTAGTGATTAGAGATCCATCTTCTGAATCTTTTAACTTTATAAGATAACTTGTGTATATTATGTAATACTTTTTGTCCATTTTTGAATTGGCCCACCTTTATTAACTTTATTTTATATTATTTTATTATTATTATTTTTATTATCTTTTTTCTTCNATGATATAAACACATACACCTTCTAAGGCGTCGTACATAGAGTCCTCTGTTTTGTTTATTATAATATTAAAATTATTTACAGTATTAAAGACACAATTTTCTTTCACTCTGGTATCAGTGGGACTCGATCGAAGGAGATCTAAAAGATAATTTTCTGGAGTTCTTACCCCTACCTCCCCCTTCACACACAATTGCGAGCAATCGTGAGAATTTGCACAATATATATATATATATATTCGTCTCCGTATATTACACAGTTGTATTGACGAAAGTAAGTCTCAGCCCTTCCCCCACTCCTCCTCAGTTCCCCTCGATTAACGTAGTTATTTGCTTGTTTTTACGTCATTTTTGATCTAATTATATTTGAGTAAGCTCCCCCTCAGCTTCCCCTCGCTCCCCCTACCTCCCCCTTCATCTCCTCCCCAAAAAATACTTATTTATAGAATGTTTTACCATCATAAATGTTAAAAAATATACGGACATTAGTACCCAAGTCATACTTCGTTTTTAGGGTTTTTTAAGTCACTGATCATAGGTCTCCCTCTGTCTATTCGCTCTCCCTTACTCACTATGTGTCTCTGAAGCACTATTATTTGTTTAACTTGATCGAACTTTTACATTTCAAATCTCTTTCTGGTCCATGTTTACTTTACCCAAACATAAAATTCTTGATTACCTGAGGACTTGATTAACAAAAAGACAGAATTCAGGAGGAGGTATAATTAAATAGAGCAACACAATTAAGCTTTTGAAATGATAATTCATTCTGTTAGCTTAATGTTGTGACATTTCATCTGTCGTTTTAACCGATCTGTTCTTTTAAAACCCTTTCCACATTTTTTAGATATTTGTTTTTCATGGTTTTTATGAATTAACATACTTCTGTTTAAATGTGACGATCTTCGAAGTTACATATTTTTGAATTACTGAAAAATTTCTTGCTAAACAATATTTTTAATTTCTGATTTATTCTCGGATTTAATCTGAATAAAAATTCTTTTTGGATTCTTACATCTTAATAAAGTAACGTATAATTGTCCGTAAGAGAACAAAGGTTTTTTAATATACAATCCTAAGGAATCAAAACTCTGTTCTTGTGATTTGTTGATAAACATAGAACATGCTAATAGAAAGAGAAACTGTTTTCTATATAAGACAAAAGGTAATGATGATGAGGTGCCAGTATTCAATGCTCTATGAATATGAACTTTGCTTTCTTTTTTTTCCCGTTATTATTTCTGCTTCTATATGATACTCTAATAATTTTGTTATTTTTAATCTTGTACCCATACAGATACCGTCTGATTTACTTAAAGTTTTTACTAACACTACTATAGCATTTATTTTTAATTTTAATTCGTGTGATGGAAGACCTTCTCTAATATTATTTGAAAATTCTATTGAAAAATTAATACTTATGTTATCATATGTTTTATCAACTCCTTTGTGAGGCACATATTCTTCTGTTGTGAACTTATTATTAGCCTGCATTGATAAATAAACGAGTAATGTAGTTATTTTGTCTACTTAATCTGTTAGTGGGGGGTTGGCGTCCGGAGCGCGCAGCGGAGCGTTAGCCCCACTAGTATGTATATATATATACATATGTATGTATACAAGGTTATCATTACATACATATGTATATATATATATATATACATATGTATGTATACAAGGTTATCATTACATACATATGTATATATATATATATACATATGTATGTAAATATACGCGCGTGTGTGGGTGTGTGTATGAATAGTGTGTGCGCGCGCGAGCGTGCAATCATGGATACGAAGATCATTATGTATCCACATATTGTATACTTCATAATGTGCACTTAAAATGGTTCGGTGCGCTGGCTAGCAGTTAACCCGTGTAGCAGCAGTTTCCACCTCTAGAAGTGGGTGGTGCGCTGAAATAGAGCAACGGTGATGCTCTTCACGCGTAAGACTACTGTTTCAACTGGCCTGCATAGACACTATTCCAATAATCGGAGTAGCCTCTACTTCGATTCAGATCATAGGGGGAACTATTCATGAAAATTTTTTTTAATAACCTCAATTATGACTGAACAAAGAATATTGCGATTGATTGTCAATCAGTTTTCACCATGCATTTAATATTGTTTAAAAGGTCTGCCCTGTAAATATATAGAATATGTCTTTTTTTTATGTTTTTTCAACTACGACAGTAAGTTAACAGAATGATATAATAATATGGCAGGTGGTAACGTATACAAAAGTTAATTCATTGGACAAAAGTTAGTTAGACAAATTTTATTAAAAGTAAATCGACCCATATCTATTATTTGTATCGTAGAATGATCAAATAGTTTTAGATCGAATAGAATAAGAGGCTTTTTTTTTAAGTCCATAACTCGTGGCATGTGCGAAACATTACTATAGTAGAATATAATTTGTTTTTTCTTGTTTTCAACAGCATACACAATAAAATGTTTACTAAAAAAAACTTTGTTCATAAACATTGACAGTAAACTTAACATTAAATTTTAAAAAGTTTTTTGTTTTTAATTTTTATCATTATGTAATTTTTCGATTTTTTTTGTGTGCACTATTTCTCCAAATTCAATTCCTCGTTCTGTCATACTTATAAGTTTAAACTTATCTAAACTGTAAGGGGTAGCATTTATGTACACTTCTTTTAAATTAACAGTATTTTTGGTATCATTATAAATAAATACAATTTCTGATTCGATTTTAATATTATTAAATACTTGGCATATTTTAACACTTGTTTCAATGCAATGGTGGTCAATAAATTTTTGTTTTAATTTGTAGATGTAGCATTAGCTTTCACTTCTTCATGTCTGAATTCAAAACGCATACTCAAAAAATGTATGAAAGGACCGAAATACTCTATTATTAAGGCATAATGTGTAAGAAAATAGAATTTGGGCTTTAATTTTGTATAAAAATTTGAGTACAGTGAATTTAGTTGTTTTACGTTATTTTTTAACTCTTGCAAACATTCAATTACGATACATGGAGACATTAGTACATCGACTATTTTTCGTAGCAAAATACACATTTTTCAATGCTTTTTATCAATAGGCACTTTGTCTCCGATTATTGAATCTAAGTTACGAGTGATAAACATGATCCCAGCCGCTGAGCATTTTAAATTAAGTTCATCTTTTATACGACCAATCGTAATAATTGGAGGTTTATTAGAATCTTGTGCCAATAAACAAGAGGCTTTAATTCTAAGGTTTTAACATTCCAACGTAAAAAATTCTTGTTCGAAAATTAATTCATGCAACACAGCACGTATGATATAAACACATACACCTTCTAAGGCGTCGTACATAGAGTCCTCTGTTTTGTTTATTATAATATTAAAATTATTTACAGTATTAAAGACACAATTTTCTTTCACTCTGGTATCAGTGGGACTCGATCGAAGGAGATCTAAAAGATAATTTTCTGGAGTTCTTAGGAAGTTCTCATCTTCGACACACAATTGCGAGCAATCGTGAGAATTTGCACAGCATATTCTACACGAAAAATTTGCATGAAAAGAGCTCACAAATCCACATATTTGATCAAGGCCTAAATTATCTTCAACTTTTTTTATAAAATTTGAAATTACTGTTAGTGATTTTGCTGAAAGATATACATACGATATCTTGGGTCTTATTCTGTATACATGCTCTTGTATTTAATTCCAAACATTAGTGTAAATGTTTGACCAGCAATGCAAAGCAACCGACACCTTATAGCACACATCAATCACATCTAAAGAATTTTTGAATTCGTAATTTTGACCATCTAATATTACGAACGCTTTTGTTATTGAGTCTAATTAATCACAAAAAATAATGTAAGGATGTATATGATATCCAAAATCAGTTAACTGCTGTTCAAAGTGTTTTTTGTGTGACTCTATGAGAGAATAATTCCGAAAAAAAATTTTGTATTTTTTTTAACATAAAAACTTATTGTCTTAATTTAAATTTACCTTGACTATTTTTACGAAGTGCTGTACGACTTGTTTCCTAAAAATTGTTACTGATCCTTGTTTTTTTGTTTTTACAGTAACTGCTTTTGTTACAAAAAATGGTAAAAAATACAGAGCTTTAAAGATATTAGAAACTGCAACAAAAATCGCTTGTAGCAAAAGTTATAATTTAAAAAAATACACGTACACAAACAATTTACCATTTTACAGACACTCTTCATTATTTTTCTTGAACTCTTTTAGATCACTTACTTACGAACTTGATCCCAGGTAACAAATACCTTGGGACACTTCTAACCACCTACTTGAAAATTTTGTTTGAAACTGTTCATCAGCATCTTTCTCAATTGCATTTTCGTTTATCAATTTCTCTATGATACGTGCACAATCACATTAAAGCTAAAATTCGTTAAAAATTATATGAAACTTTTTATACAAATTTTCAAGTATAGAATATTTATAAGTTCTAATCAACGTTAAAATTATAAATTAAAATGATAAAATTATAAAATAGTGAATTAAAAACTAACCAACTCTAGTCCAGAACTTATATTCAAATAAACAAATGTATTTAAATAAGCTCTGTAATTTATAGTTACTTTTTGTTTTTGAAAGTAACGAATATACGTTGTCTTTCATTAAATACGTAACTTAAGTGTGGTAACTAAAAATGTGAATTAATTATAGTAAATAAATTTTCTCAAACCAAAATTCTAGATCATGAACCAAATAGACAAAAAAGATTAATGTCAGAAATGCTACACGTACACTGGACTAAACAAACAATAAATAAAAAAGAGGATACCATATTTCTCAATAACAAATACAAAGTTCTTGTAAGTAATCTCTTTTAAATACGTACACACGTTATCTATATTCGCAAGAAACGTATATTTATTGTTTATATGTATATATAGAAATACATACATGTTCGACACTTACATTATTCGTTTAAGGTGACCAACAGTCTGTAACGATCGTCTTAACGATATAGACGTGAGTATCTGTTATTAATATTTGTAAACAGTGGCCCTACAATGTAATTTGCAAAAATTGTTGTGTTTTTTGTTTTTGTTTTCTTTGTTAATAGAGTGAGCCTGATGAGGTTGGAGTTAAGACCAACGAAACGATGCTCAAACTAACACCTGATTTTTTGGAGTTTTCATTCGTACTCCCAAAATTAGCTCTTACTGATCGTGTGCTTAGGCACTAACCCTCAATTCATCATAGTAAATAAATTATTTTTTTATTTTAGATTCTGAAACATTTAGGTCTATTAAGGTCATTATGTATGCAAAAACATTTTATTAACTGTCATGACAATAATAACATTATTTCAAGAGTATTTATTGAAAAAATCTTCTGAATAGTTATTGGCGAACTTACCTGTATCATCAGTATTTCTTGTGATATTTTCTCCTCTTTTTGATATGTCTGGGTTACCCAAATCATTTCTGTATTGCTTATAAAAATTGACGAGACAACCAGCTGCATATTGAGTGATACTGCATCACCGAAAGCATTGGAAGTTTGAGGTCGGTACCAGTCAATCTTGTTTGTCGTTGGAAAAAGTTCATGGATAACTTCAGTTAATTCAAGAAATCTTATTGAAGATATTCTATGACTATTGAAAAAATTTAAGAAATAATAATCAAGCACTTTGTAACTCTTACATTTAATACAATAACAAATAATAAAACTGTAAAAAGCACAAAAAGCTAGTTAAAACTTCAGAGAGAGCAGAAGTGTATGAGTAAAATTAATTCGTGTTCTTTTTTATAAAGGTTGGAAAATATATTGTTTTGTTTTGAGCCCACAGTTTTAGTGAGCGTATAAATCCTTGGTGTCAATGAATCTAAAGAGCTGAAAACGAACAGGATGAGTATATTCAACAAATAAATAAAAAGCATTGTTCAAGTTTAATGCCTATAGCTGAAAAGAGGAAACAAACAAAAGAGCTTTTAAAATACAGCACGTCAGATTTGAGCAATATTTCTATAATAGACAAATTATTTTGAGAAACTTTAAAACAACTTTATTTGTATTGCGTGTATTTAAAAAAATCTAATTTACTTGGAGTTGATTTGATTTTCAATAATAACTTTTTGTATAATATAAATTTTGAGACGCTTTTCCAAAAAAATTTTATTTTCTATAGATACCTAAAATTATTTTTCCTTCGGTCTCATCATTTAATAGGTGACACGAATTATTTTCAACGAAATTGAAATCCTACAGTTTAACAAATTGAATAAATAATATAAAAATAAAACGTTCTAGTGTTATTCAAAGCTTGTAAGAAAATTATTCAAAGATTTATAGTCTTGAGTAATTTTTAAGAAATAGTTGAAACCTTGTGAACTTTCAGGTATTGGGTTATTGGTTACTTATTATTATTATTCAGTTATCAGTCACTTCGGGAATACTTTTTTGTTCAATAAACGATTTTTGAGGAGAAACAATCATTTGCTCATCTTCAATCAATATATCAGAAATATCATAGAAAAATGATTTAAGTATAAATTTTGTAGCTGTTACGAAATTAGAATTATTATCGTATCACTCTGAACGTGAAAAAAATACGACAAGTGCAAGTTCCAGTAATACCGCATATTTATTCACATCAGCACTAACTGAGGTTATAATGAGAAAAACTTACCAGAGATAATCAGTTCTTTGATTTTACGTGGTAACAAAACTTCGTATTTAACAAAAAATGCGTCCATTGTCCAATTTGAATATCAGAAACTATTGTTAGCGTCTTACTTTCTCTATACACCAGAAAATAGAGTAGCGGTTACTGCGATATAAACACTGTAGGCTACCTCGATCGACTGGTGCGCTCTGTGAACTGAGTCGGTACGCGAATTAGTCTGATCAGAGTAGTACCTACTCTGATGAAAAGTACAAGCGCTGCTACGTCAATCAACTTAGCCTTTGAACCTCGAGGAGTATAGGGCACTTCGAACCATTTTCAGTGTGTATGCAAAAGCATATCTAACACAGTATAGACTGTATAAGCTGCTAATTTCCAGCAGCAAGCCTACATATATTTAGGTAGCGCTTTCAGCAGTCGAAAAATCTCAGGGTTTTGTAAACTTTGCTGACTTAAAAGAAAGTTGACTGTATGATTGATAGTGGCATATGCACGCCTGTAAGCTTGCTTTCAGTAATAAATACGCAGCTATGTATAGTAAATATATTAAATGTACTGTATATACAGTAGGTATTATTGCAGTATATTTCATACGTACTTCGTAAGAAATTTAGACTTATACTTCTCGTTCCAGCATGCGATAAAATTTATCCCCATATTTGATTGATGGAACATTCTCCTTTAAAATGATATTTAAGATATAAGAAATAGTGAAAGCTGGCTAAAAGATGATAAGAAAGTTTGGTATAAAATAGTAATACATTAAAATATGTGCGAAATTGCTCGCATTAGCGTCAGTGGTTGAGATTTTAATGATGTTGATGAGTTTATCACTCATTAAAATGAAGAAATGCGACAACAAACTGCAAAAACCACATTATCCAACAGAGTTGGAAGTTCATATATTACTTGTATTCTTGATAATGGTGCTGCAACTGATAAAATTAAAATTAATACATTAGATTAGAAATTTCCAGGAGATTTGTAAGATTTTATGAATTTGACAGAAATAATACCCCATTTAGTCCTAACGAAGAAAACAGTATACATTACCATGCAAAAAAAGCCTACCAACTATCGAATTGTTCAAATTAATTTTCCTATCAATGACTGAGGATTACTGGATTGAAACTCAAGTCTGGTAATCAGCAATCATTGCTACAAGAAAAGGTTGAGGATAACGCAGGATCTACAAGTGGTGGATTTTGGAAACTAGACGAGGAAGTGGTGGTGGAGTCGAGATCCAAGCTTATTGTACCTGTAAGGAATAGTGCAAATAAAATCATTAGTTCATGAAAGGAGGTTACTATTTATTATTAGTAAATGACTCATACAATTATAATAACTTAGAAAATAGATTTTACTTGTGATAAAAATGTTAATAGTCCTTAAAGAATTTGTATGTTAAAAAGTATAAAAGGTTTAAGCTCATACGTAATTTTCGGAAATTCAGAAATTTTTATTTTACCATACAATACTTACAATCTTTGAATTTAAAATCACACTCTCCAGTTATACATTTAAATCGTTTCAAGTACGTAATAACATACAACACCGCTCTTAATAAATTAGCACAAAACTCCCTCAACACTTATTTTATATCTTTTATCGTATAAATTTTCAAGATACAGCAGCTATACTTATTACATGGATTTAAAGTATATTTTTAATTTTAATTATAAAATTTTGATTGCAGAACAAAAGAGAGTTAACTCACATCCATGACTCACTTTGATTTAAAAAAAAGCTGGTAGACAGTGGGTGCTTGGGTACCCAAATAAGAACTTATATTTATATAAAATTATATAGCAGATAATATAAATACAAATATGAATATACCTTCTATGACACGATATCGTGTACGACATGGTGCAATTATCGTTGGAATAAGTATACCTACGTTAGTTGGGTGTAATTTCAATAAATATTCTAATGATTAATAACCGAACAATTATAATCGATGTATTATGGCATAATATAATATAAACAATATGTAGGCTGGCCAGTATAAGACTTTGCATTTTCATCAAATCTTTGGATGATTTTCAAAAAACTTCCTACGGCCTACGCTGATTCCATCTCTAACGTCATTCTCATATTTATGACATACGCTCATACACTTATTCCTACTCCGTATTTAATACCCACAATATAATTGCATCTAAAAAATTAAGACAAACCCTCCTGTAGCACGGCTTTCTTTAATAGCATAGTTGTACATGATAATGAATCTCCTTTCAGGAAGGACGTCTATCACACATTGGTTTTTTTGATGGAAATCATTCGTGCATTTAAAGTATACTGAAAATAGTATTAGTAATAACCAAAAAAAATTGCAGATCGTTTAACTGTATCCTTTAAAAAGGTGCAATGTAACATTTAACCTTACAGAAAAATCACTTAAAATTGCATTTATAAGATCTGTATACACCTCCTAATTTTTGTTTGTACAAAAAATTTCTTTTAAATAAACTTGTTTTATTTTCAAATAGATCTATAATTTTTTTTTTTTTTTTTATTTTTTATTTTTTTTTTTTTCTCAATAAAACAAGAAAGAAGGGGTCAAGTATGTGTAAAAGCGTATATATAAGTACATCTATATGGGAAAAATAATTGCCAGCGTTGCTGCATATATTTGCGCTTCGTCCACCACTCTGAACTTTAAGCGGAATTTTTCCACCACTAAATATATGATAAACGTCTTTAAGTCAAAAAATCATCTTCATCACAAATGAAAAATTGTAAAAGAACAAAACGCAATAAAAATCAATTAGTGTATTTATACAGTACAAAAAAATTATTTTTTAACCATTAAAATTTTGAAAAAATGTGATAAAATTGTATAAACAGTTATTTGTTTATTTTAAAAGTAACAAATTAATAATAAGTAGAAAAAAAGTTAATTGACACATATGAAAGCTTCTGTGCTGAAAAATATTAATTTTGAAGTTCTTGAAAAAAACTTTTAACTAAAAAAATTAAGGTAAAGGACATCGATTGTGTGCAGGAATTGGGAGATTCAAATCTCTTTGCAAACCGTGTTTTTTTTTTTTTTTTTGTAGAACTGGTTAAAAGAAAAAGAAAAACAATTCATGAAGTTTAAAATGAGTGGTGTGGTGTGGTGTACAAGGGACCGGTAGTACGTCAAGGGGGGTGGATCGAAGGGGGGGAAATCAGGCA